ATATTTATATTTATAATTATCATATTTATATTTTTATATATATTTTTATATATTTATATTTTTAATTTTTTTTTAAATTCATAAAATAATAAAAATAATAAAAAATTTATAAAATAAATAATATGTTATTGAAAATAATTGCATACTTTCAAAAACGGACAGTAGAGTTGAAATGAAATTAACTTTTCCATTTTTATCATACTGTTTCTTTAACCATCCAATAAATATTGGACATGCAGCTAAAGCTTGTAAAAGAGAATTTAAAAAACAAGTATATCCTAAATTATTGATTCCAATGACTTTTCCTGAAAAAACATATAAAATATAGTAAAATATATCTTTTAAATAAGAATTGAAAATCCATAAGAATTGAAAATATATTTTTCACTATACCTTTTTTTCTAGGTTTAGGAGATGGACCCCATAAAACAAATATTGCAATAGCTATTGCAAATCCTATACTGGCAAATACAGCGACTTTTTCTACATCCATATTTTCGGAATGTTCGTTGAAATCTGAAATTTTCTTGAAAAACTGCGAAAACTAACCTATGCATTAATTTCATGAACAAATATATTCATTAATAAATACACATATTTTTTTAAATAATTAATATTTCAACGAAAAATAATTAAATTTTAAATATTTTCATAGTTTACTTAAAATTACTAAATAATAAATTCAGTTTATATAAATAATTTGACTATACTTTGAACGATATCTGTACAATAATAACACAAAAAAATATCATTCATTTATTGTTTTTAATCGTAATTATTATTTTTGAAATATATTGATAAAATCAAATCTTTTTTTATTTTACAAATCATAAAATTGTTTTACTCAGTACTTTGACCAAACACTACTCGTTTGGCATCGTAAACATAGATATATGTAGATTTTTATGAAGGTTATATGAATGTTAGTAATAAATATAATTAAATTTATAGAAATTGTATCATGATGAGAGAAAGAGAATGAAGAAAAAGAGAAAGACACACACACACACACACACACACACACACACAGTGTGTATATATATATATATATATATATAAAGAGAGGGAGAGGGAGGGAGACGGAGAGAGAGAGAGAGAGAGAGAGAGAGAGAGAGAGAGAGAGAGAGAGAGAGAGAGAGAGAGAGAGAGAGAGAGAGAGAGAGAGAGAGAGAGAGAGAGAGAGAGAGAGAGAGAGAGAGAGAGAGAGAGAGAGAGAGAGAGAGAGAGAGAGAGAGAGAGAGAGAGAGAGAGAGAGAGAGAGAGAGAGAGAGAGAGAGAGAGAGAGAGAGAGAGAGAGAGAGAGAGAGAGAGAGAGAGAGAGAGAGAGAGAGAGAGAGAGAGAGAGAGAGAGAGAGAGAGAGAGAGAGAGAGAGAGAGAGAGAGAGAGAGAGAGAGAGAGAGAGAGAGAGAGAGAGAGAGAGAGAGAGAGAGAGAGAGAGAGAGAGAGAGAGAGAGAGAGAGAGAGAGAGAGAGAGAGAGAGAGAGCAAATAAGTAAAATATTAGATCAGTAATAAAATATCATTAAATAATGAGATAAAAAAAAATATAGTTATATTATAATTGAAATATATATTAAATAATAAAACTATTATTTTTCTGTTATGCTAAATTTAATTAGAGATAATATTGAAATATAATTCAAAATATTTTTAATTTATTCCTTTAATGTTAACTACGTAAACTTAACTATGAGAATTAACTAATGAGAATTTTTAAATACGATTGTTTGAAGTCGATTGTCGATATTTCGATTGCTCGATGTTAAGAATTGTATGTATATAAGTAGTACTTCAGACGAATTTGTTCGCGTTGTATTTCATTGCAAATAAAACGATTCGGAATAACGTTAATTTTTATGTTTCTTTTCGCCATTCATTTTTAAAATTCAATATTATGTGTTATCATTTTGATTTTAGTGTTAATTGAAAGAAAACAAAATAAAAACATTAATGTTTATTTGCAAATATATAAATGAAGTATAACATATATTTATTTATATGCATTTATGTGAAAGTGTGTATTAATATGTATTATGTGCAATAAGATAAATTAAAGTGAACATCAGATAAAAATATTTCCACATTAAAAATGTTCGTTACTCAAGTGTGTGTTACATATGTGTGAAATTTTTATATAAGAAAATGAACGGTCAAGCACAAGAACACGGTCACGCTGTTGTTGTGTGGGAATGGGAAAATCGTCATGGACGATGGCGGCCTTATAGTCCCGCAGTATCACAACATCTTGAGCGAGCACATTGTAAAAAACTTACTCGAGTCTTTCTAAATGATGCGGATCCAAATTTGGATAGGTTAGATTTTATATTATTTTTTTTATTGAAAATTATAGTATACATTTGTTTGAAAATTTTTATTATTATTTTTTTAATATATGAATAAATATTAAATGAAAAATAAATTAAAAATTATTTTAAAAAGGATAAAAAATATAAAATATGAAAAAATCATTTCATTTTACATTTTAGAATAATATATGTACATTTACATTTATATTATATATATATATATATATATATA